AGAGAAGGCAATAGAGGTGTATGAAGAGAAGGGATAGATTTAGAAAGACGAGATTTACGAGCAAATAAAAGAGAAGAGGAAGAGAAAGAACGGGAAGACGGAAGGGGAATGTATACAAGATACAAGATAAATAAATTATTTATAAATAAGATATTAGAAGTTTTAAAAGTAGTAGTTTTCATATTATAGGTGTACTTAAAAAAACCCCACCAAATGTGTGTATATACCATCATTATATATAACTTTAATATCAAAACCAGCATTGATAATACCTTTAACAATAAACATAGAGTCAAAGCCAGAGAAATTATGAAAATAGATAGTACAGCCAAGATATTTAAATTGACATAAATCAAGAAACATTTGTGCAATCATAGAATCAGAATCTACATAATCAGTAAGATAGTATAATTTATAATCATTAGTATTGAAGTAATAACCACAAGAATAAACAGTATGAACACCTAAGCCATTGTCAGCACCAAAAGTTTCTAAGTCCATGGTAATAAATTTATTATCTTCTTCAACGTGAGTAGGGAATTGTTCTAAATAATTACAATGAATAGGTTTAGAAGTAATAATTAGATTATTATGGAAAGATTGTGAGATGTTGTGAGATTGATAAGAACGAGTAATTAAATGAGTATCAGAATCAATTAAATCAATAACTACTAGGTTAGGTATATTATTAATATCATATTTAATAATTTTAAAAGAATTATGAGAAAGAGGAGAAATAGATAAATATTCTTGATTAGATAGAGCAATGATATTTTTAGTATAGTCTAAACCAAAAGGTAAAGGAAGATGATCACCAATTTTAAATAAAGAAACATTTTTAGGTTTAGTAGTATGTTTAGTAAGTTTAACTAAATGTTTATCAGCTTTAGTTTGTTGAGTAGGAGTAATATTAGTCTACCAAGGTTTATAGTAAATAAGCATATTACAAGAATAATTTATATGATAATTAGCTTGTAAAATTTTATAACTTTCTTTAATATGAGCATGAATATAAGGAATTTTAGAATTAAAACCAAGATCAATTAAAAATTTGGTAAACATAAAACTTTGTGGAGAAAGAGAATATTGAGTGCTATTAGTACCACCTGTTAATTTATAACCATGTTTATTAAATAAGGAAACAAAATATTTCCAATTATTAAAACTTATAAAATACATACGATGATTATGAGGTATATCATAATAATGTTGTAGCTATTGAATAAATCCATCTTTAGTTATTTGATATTTATAATAACCCTCAGTTCTTTTATCCCAATTAATACTTTTAAATTCCTCTTTTCTAAATATCCAAGCACGCATTACACTATTTATTGTTGATAATTCACTATAATACTGAGAATGTAAAAGATCTAAAAAATGTTCATCATTTTTAAAGAAATCCTCAATATAAAAAAGATGTGTATACACCCCTCATTTAAAAAATTAATTTCAGAGTTAGCATGAGGAGTTATATTAAAAGGTTGTGAATACTAACGATCTATAGGCAGACAAAAATGTTGACCAATATAATCATAATTATACATAATAAAAGTTTTACCTCTTTTAATAGTTTTAATAGGATAAAAAGAATATATATTTAAAATTTTTCTATTTTCAACCTAATCATTATAACCACTATAAACAGAATTAATTTCACTATTTAGGTATAATATATCTTTTTTATAAGTACTAAAATATTGAATATTATTAAATAGATAAATATTAGAAATAATAGAAGGTAAACCAGTATTAATTAAAGAAGGATTATTAAAAATTTTAGTAGAAGTACTATAAGAACGAATTCTAGTATTAAAGGGAATACCAGATTTTTTTATATAAATAGAAGGGACCAGGGAAGAAGTAGTATTATTAGAATAAAAATTAATAGGAATAGAAAATAAATTTAGTATAGAACCAATAGAATCAAGAATAAAAGCAAAAATTTTCATAATTAAAAAATATATTTATAAAAGAATGTGTTAACTTAAAGTAACATAAAAATTAAATTATTTAACAACATAAAAAAATTAGTAAACCCTAACTAGGAACTAGCTAGGATAAAACTAATGTTAAACAGAGGAAAAGAAAAATTTAAAAAAAATCCAACATTTCCTCATAAGGTCCCTGGTGTATTTCCAAGCTCTCCTATACCCCTCGTCTTCGTTATCAAAATTTTATTTTTCCTTTCAATATGCATTTTAAATTATGGCGTATTGGTAAACTTGTTACTATTGATTCTTTAAATTATCAAATTATTAATGATAAATTTACTATACATATCTCTGTTACTTTGTATTCTGACCATATTGTTCATCATTATCGTATTTTTAACCCCTTATTATCTCATATTACCTTATTGGAATTTACTGATGTTTCTTTATCTCTTTCTCTTGATGACTTTGATCGTACTTACCGTAATCATACTTATCTTATCCGTAATGGTACTTATTTATTATCCCGCACTATTCATAAATTTAAACCTATTACTGTCCTTAAACCTTCTATCCAATCTAGTTCTAATTTTATGACATTAGACCTTGAATGTTATACTATCAATAATGTTTTTCATGTTTATGCTGCTGGTGTTTATGACGGTGTTTCTTTTACTTCTTTTTATTTATCCGATTATACTGATACTGATCAACTTCTTCATGCTTTATTTTCTTTTATTTCCCGTCCTAAATATGATGGTTTTATTGTTTATGCTCATAATTTAAATGGTTTTGATTTAGCTTTCCTTTTAGACTATATTAGTACTCGTGGTACTCATAGAATTATAGCCCGTGATTCACGTTTTATTCGTATCTCCTGGTCTATTAATAATTGTACTCTACATTTTGTTGATTCTCTTGCTATTCTTCCTGCTAGTCTTTCTGATCTTTGTAAATCTTTTGATATTTCTTCTGTTGATTCCAAATCTTCTTTTCCTCATGATTTTGCTTCCCCTTCTACTCTAAATTATATTGGGTTTCATCCTGTTACTGGTGAACCTGACTGGAATTTTAAAGAATCTTTAATACATTATTTATATCTTGATTGTTATTCTTTATGGTCTATTTTAGATAAATTTAATGCTCAAATTTTCTTAGACCATCGTGTTAATATTTTAAGACATTCTACTTAGCCTGCTATTGCCTATGCTATCTTCCGTACTAATTTTATTATAGCTAATACTATAGTTTCTCTACATGGTCGTGTTGATTCTGATATTCGTCAATCTTTCTATGGTGGTTTAGTTGATGTTTATCGTCCTACTGGTTCTGATTTATATTATTATGATGTTAATTCTCTTTATCCTGCTGCTATGTGTATGGATATGCCTGTTGGTAATCCTACTTATATTGATTCTAATCTTTCTTTATCTGACTCTTCTATTTTTGGTATGAAAATAACTAAAAAAATTAAATCTTTGACTTACTCTTTTCAAATCTTTGATTCTTATTTAATGCTTAATTCTAGTTTAGCTGATCTCGCTAGAGATTTTAAACTTCCTAATAAAGGTTTATTTCCATATAAATTCCCTAATCAAAATAATTTGAATTATGTAGGTATTACTCCAGATATTAAATTTTTCCCTGATATTGATATTAATGATTATAATGTGGTACCTGACTGGTCTTTAAAACAAAATACTATACTTTATCTTCATAAAGATTTATTAATTCTTTACCTTTCACCTGTAGTATTTATGACAATACAGCATTAGATATTACTAAAATTATTTATATACATTACGCGTTGATTGGTACAGTCGACTACGTCGGTATGAAAAGTTTATTAATACTACTCATTATCCTAACATCTAGATCACCTTGTTATTAGTTAATAATAATAAGTTTACCGGTATGATTAGATACTAGGTAATAATAACTTGGTGTACAAATAACAGATAGATAAATAAATACCGATATGTTAAGATAAAGAGTAAATTAGGATTTCTAGTATACCAAATTTTATAACAAATAAGCATATCAAAAGTAAATTCATACTCATTAGAAGGATATTTACGTAGAACGATATCATAACCACTACGAATATGAGAATATATACCATTCACATCCGTCAAAGAACTTACACGCATAGCACAACTTAAATTATGATAAGAAAATTTACCTTTATTATCTACACTAATAGCAGTAAATATAACACTATAAAGAGTATTTGGTATAAAAATTGAATAAAAATCAAGATTGTTTAAATACCTCATAATCATAATTAAAAGTAAACGGAATACGTTTGTAGGTTTCAGCAACAGGTAAATTAAAATCTAACGTAGGTAAAAGACTAGAAGAAATAATAGAAAAGACAATATCTTTATTAAGAATAACCAAACTCGTAAATTTTCAAGTACTCACCGTTGGATACTAACATCACAGTCTTGTATAGTATACTAAGTAATCATATTATAATTCTATTAATTTGGTAATATATAGTAAATAGGTAATACAACAATGATAGTAGTTTAAATAATTACTAATAATAAACGTGAGTATTTAATATTTTGTACGTAGGTATACACTTAATCATGATCCGTTTTAAATTAATATGTTACCTGTCGACGTAGTCGGTAGATATTAAATAGATGGATGATTAGAATAATTGAATTACAATATTTTTGATATACTAGTATAAGTTTTAACATAATCTTAATTTCTATAGGTACCTTAGATGAATGGTAAAGACTAGTCCGTTAATAATTTGATATTTACCAAATATATATTCCAATTGTATACAGTACTACCTTATACAGGTCTTAATATACTCTCAAATATAATAACGTATAAAATAAAGAGGGACCAAGTTACATAACCATCAACTTACAGTACTTATATCTATAATAATATTAGTGTACTATAATCTCAACCGACTTAGTCAACTAAACCTATATATATACTGATAAATAATTTACGGATAAAACTGTACATTTAAATTGGAGTATGTAGAGTATAAATCATTAGCATAAAGATTAGGTGGGTACTTGTATTATTAAAAGTTAAACCCCCAAGGTGGAATCGAACCCCCACTATCAGATTATGAGCCTAATATGCTTCCATTACATTATTGAGGAATTTAAAACTTTTCGCATTTAAAATCTATAAGTATACGAGTTCTAGAACTAGGAGAAATAAAGTAAATGAGAGTAAGCGTACCGCGTACGGAACTCTATTATAAACTTTTACCTTGTTATATTATAAACTAGTTTATTACTCATAATAATCTCGGCGGTACGCCTCAAGTAAGTTCTATAATATCCATAAATCGTCGGACAAGTTCTAGAACTCAATTAGAGCTCGGTGTACCACCTCACAAGGTTATGTTAATTAATTACTTGAATAGTTAAATAATATTAAAACGTTCGGATTACATCCTCACTTATATTATTCAGTACACTAGTTTATCCTCCCCTAAAAAATCTCGAACAAGTTCTCAAGTATACACCTACAACGTAGTGTAGATATAGATAATGTAGAATAGTTTAGTTTAATTTATCGTACATACATTGATTTATCTCTCCATCAAAATCTCGAACAAGTTCTCGAATTATCTGAATATCAACAAAGGTTGTAATAACTTCTCATGGAAACGCTCGTACAAGTCCTCGCATAAGTATAATATAGTACAAATAATAAGTTATAATAGAATATAAGTACAAGTAGATAGTGTACACGGATAAACTAATAAAGATAAGTAGTAGAACATAGTTATAATACAGAATATAGGTAGATAATAGTAAATAATGTAGAAAATAAAAGGACAAGGAAAATAATATTATTTTCATCAACATCACAAACTTCTTTAATACGAGCTATGTTCATATTATGGAATTGTTCCTACCAAGGTGTATTATTAAAATACTAATCAATGAAGGATTCTTTAACAATTTCTCTAAGAATAGGTATTTTATTAGGGTGCATACCGAAACAATCATGAATAGTTATAATATTACAATTATATTTTTCAGCTAGTTTAACAATTTTATATAAATGAGCTGAGTCCAGTGAGTGTATTATATTAGGTACAATAGCCTGACGACTTTTTAGATAATCATTAGAAAATGGTAATTTCAAACTATAGTAAACTAATTTATGAACTTTACCATTAAGTGTTATTGAATGTCTACTTTTCTCACTACTTAAATATTTAGGTATAATTTTAGTACCTGTTGGAGTTGTCCAATATAAATCAATACCTAACAATTTAGCTATTGTTACCCATTGAACTAAATACTCAAATAAAAGACGAATAGATGGATAAGAATCTAAGATTGCTTTATAAATAATATTAGATAATTTAAATAATTCTTTATAATCTAATGGAACTGTTGGGCCTAAAGTACTTGGTACCATATATTTTTCTTTATACTTAGGAAAGGTTTCAGCTAAATATCCTGAAATACCTTTAACAGTAACTGAGTAAGGTATAGTCATAATAGGATTTTTAACTATACTACGAGTTAATTGAATTTGATTGAAGATTTTATTAGGATGTATAGCCTAAGCATGATTAATCTTTTCTAAAGCATCTGAATATAAATCACGACGTTGAGAACCTTTAATATTAACAGATGATGCTAAATCATCATCTTTAAGTATAGCAGCTATATGTTGTAATCCTGAACAAGTAGCATCCTAAAATATAGGTAAAGAAATAATACTATTATTATCTTTATGCCACTTTGTGTAAGCTAAACAGAAGGCTACAAATTTAATGGGTTCATCAGCTTTAAGAATAAATTCACGATTTAAATTAATAATCAGATCAATGTTTTCATCAATCCATAATACTCTTGAATCAAATGATATTTTATCAATACCATAACAGTTAGCACCATAAACTTTCTACCAATATAAACCGTTATAATCCTAAACATCACCTTGTGTAAATTCAATTAAACTAGAAATAAAGGCAGATGATTGATAATTAAGTAATATATTTTTACAATAAACACGACCACGCCAATCTAAAAATATTGGTATAAAGAAAGGTCTTTTATTTATAGCTTTAGCCATAATATATGAAAGATAATTAAATGAATCACCATTATGACTTACTTTATAATGATCCTACAAATAAGAACCGTCACCATTTAAATAAGATAGTAAACATTGATTAATACTAAAAGAAGTATTTTGTAATTGATTAACAATATCATAAGGAATATTTTGTAATTGATGTTTAGACACATTACTAATTTGAACCTATTCATAATTTAAATAACTATTAGAATAATAACCACCAAATAAGGTATTACTCCAAGGATTGGGTCTGGCAAACATAGGCTAAAGATTATAATTAATATAAAACATTGTAGGTATTTCTTCATTCAAACGAAGTCTGATAGTATCATCCTTAGTTTGTAAAATCATTTCATCATTATCATCACGTTCAATAGCTATGGTTGAAAATAAATGTGATTTAGTAAATAAATCTATATAAAATAAACCTAATCGTCTAGAATCAGCAGGAGAGATAGCAAAACTATCTTTAATATTTGTAAATGATTGACTATCGGAATATTTAGATGAATTTTGTTTTAATAACATAATAACATGATTATTTATAATATTATTAGCAATAAACATACTCAGACCTACCAATCCGGTTTTAGTATAAAGAGTTAACACTGATGATAAAGCTATTACTAATGAACGTTCTGAATATATAAATTCATAATTTTCACGATTAAAGGTAAAACGAGGTAAACGTTTACGTTCAACATGATCATTTAAAAGTTCTAAACATAAAAAGAAATGTTTATTACTATGTCTTAAATTTTTATTACCTAAAGTTTTATTTATATAATTATAGTATTCAAACTCTATATCATTCTGTAATTCTTCTCCATCTATTGAACTATTAAATAAATCTTGAATATTTTCCTAATCATTTTTAATAAATGTTACTAAAGGTATTGATTTAGTTTCATCTTCACCTAAATTTTTAGTATTTTTAGTATATTTATCAGTTTTAAGTACAGAAGCAGTAAAGAAGGATAATTGTAAAACGTCAGAAACACCGAAACATACAAAGAAATATGTATAGAAAGAAAAGAAACAAACTACTATTAAGTAAGTAGCCCAACTATATAAGTATTTTTTCATTGATTTATTTTATTTTATTTTATTTTATTATAGGGAATGAGTAAAACGCAAAGAAGACGGTATACAACACCTTAACATCTTATTATAAACATACGAAATAGCTATAATGACTCTCCAAATACAATAAATTATTATTAAGTATATGCGATCGACCTCAAAATGTACAGCCCCCGTAATATACAACAATAATAAACAAAGCTTGTAAAAGGGCATTGGAATAGCCGCAATAATTTGATTTAATGTTAAATTAGGATGTACAACAAATTTATAAAAAGACAAGCGTTAACCGGTCAAGTGAAAACTATGTTGAATAAAATTCAAAAACCTTTTACACTCTAACGCTTAGGGTGATATGAAATTAGAACATCAAGTAAATCACGGTGTATTTATAGCCCCAAAAGTATATGGATAGGTTGTTACAGATATGGTTGATAATGTCCCCAAATGTAAAGAAATTATAAAATTAAAAGGTGTTATTGGTAAATCTTTACCTACTTTTGATATTATGGTTAATATGGTTTATGATCAAGCTAAACTCTAGATTCAACAATCTAAATTTATTCGTAGTTTAAGCGAGGGTACTGTATTTATAAAGGATACAAAATATACTTTGAGTAATATTAATACTAAACGTTTTAATCTAATATCAAAAGGACTTATAGTAGGTACAACACCACTATACTATGTAAACGATACCTTAATACCTTTCCTATATTGTTTAACATCTTTCAATAAATTGTAGCCTGCTCCTAATATTAAATAGTTACCAAATACTAGTAGCCAACCTTCTATCATTTCAGGTAAAATAGTTTTATCAAGTATAATAGACGTATCTTATAATACTAATTCTGAGGTTAATTTAACAAATTACGAAATTGATAAAATACCATTTAAATCCGGTTCTTGGTTTACTAATATTACTAATTCTTTATTTAATATAACTTACAATAGCCTTAATACTATTTATAAATTAATACGTGATTTAATATTAAGTGGTACTTAGTAGATAATATAGTTTAATTTAATAACCGGTGATACAGATAATACAGATTTTAAGGATATACCTCCAGAAATATTTAATCCAAGTGATTCATCTAAAGAATTGTTAAATGATTATAAGCCTTCTAATATTACGACATATTTAGATGATATAAATCTTATAGATCCTATACTAATGCTTAAAGCTATTATTGTAATATTAAAATATTTAAATTTTCATACAGATTCAATATCTGAAGCTTCTACTATAAATAGTGAAACATCAGATATACCTAGATTAAGTATAGATCCTAATATTTTAAATCCTACATCTCCTAGTAATTTATCACCATTTAGTTCTTTATATAGATTAGTAATTTCCCAATTATATTCAGAGTCAATTCGTGCTCAACATATATTAGATATTTTACCTATATTGTTAAGAAGTATACAAGTTGTAAGTAATTATATAACTGAGAGGAATATTTCCAATAATAGTGAATTATACCAAGCTCTTAATGAGTTGAAAATTCTTATTGATGGGTTACAAGAAACTTATAATACAGAACTAACACAGCAACAAAGAGATATTATACAAGCTGTTATAACCGCTGTTGATGCTTTAGCTGAATCACATGCACCCGAATCTTTAGTGGAAGAACTACGTTGTGCTACACCTTCTGACTTGTTAACAAATACTTCTTCAATAGATGACGAAAATACTAATATTAATCGTATTGAAAATCTTAACAATTCTAGGGTTGTAAGACCTCGTGTTTTAACTTTACAAGAAGAGTTGGATATAGCTGAAAATTTCAATAATAGAGATTCATAGTCTACAAATAACCAATTACAAAGACGTGAATAAATGTAATGTGTGAATCAAATTAAAGTAACATTATACTCTGTAGCAAATTCTTAGCAGGATTTGACAATTTACACATGGTTAAATGTAGACCCAAAGTCTTAATTAAGGGGTATCTTAAGACTTTCAGTCTACAATAATTTAGCAAGGATCCTTAGATTACCTTCATGCTGTAGACTCCCAACAGTTATAACCAAGCATACTACATACAGCTTGAACTGTTCCTTGTATTACTACAAGATTATTAAAGGTGGGTTTCCTTATATTAGCTAACTAAATATTCTGATTTAGCTACATCAAAATGTGTTAAAGTTACATTTTTAATAGAAGGTAAGAATGCTTTGATCAAACCTTTAAATATATCGACCAATCATAAATAACAATTAAAAACCTTGGATTACAATAAGTATATAACTAAACAACTCTTTTATACATTATCCTCTAGATTCTACTCTTAATTCCACAAAGAAATGATAATATATGTAGATGATACAGTACTACCTATAAATATAACTAAACCTAATTCAATACCAAAAGAGATAAATAATTGTTTAAGTTAATATAGAGTTTACCTCAGGAATAAAGGTATAATATGTAAGTAAATTATATTAACCAGTGTGTAGTGTAGGTGTAAAAACTACTTGATAGATAGTTACCTATACATAATTTCTAGGTATAATATTAATTCTGGTGAGGTATATAAAATTAAAGGGGATGAAAGGAATCGAACCTCCAATACACGGTACCAAAAACCGCTGCCTTACCATTTGGCTACATCTATAGAAATTGTAGATTATAAATATTTCCATGGTTTTATTATATTATTAATAGTTTAATTGTTATATAATTAAAGTGATTTAGTATAGGTAAGTAATTACTGAGTAGATGGAGATAAACTAAAAGATTTACAAATATCAGAAAAACTATGAGGTAAGATAGCTAAAGAATCAACAAAGTGTAAAACACATTTATAAGTTTTAAAAGTAATACGTATAAAGCAATTATCCCTAGTAATAATTTTATTAGTAATTTATCTGTACCTATATTATGTATCTCTATTTTAATTGTACTATTCTATGTTACTTATCATTCTGTATTTATCATACAGGTGTATTCTATTATTACTAATTAATATTCTGGTAATTTGTACGTTGGTATTCTGTATTCTTGTTATACATTTTTTTTATATGTTATACTTATTACTCATCTTACTATTTATTATCTTTACATATCAGTGTTATATTGTACTATAATATTCAATTACATAACTTATTAGTACAATATTTTTAGAGGTCCCGGCGGGATCTGTTCTTTATAATAAACCAGGTGATATATAAAGTATAACACAACAGTATAAATTAGAGTATTTAACTTAATGTAGAATAAATATTGGTATAAGTAAAGAGAATATAGAGATCTGAGTAAATGTATGTAAATATAATTAAATAGAGATAAAGAGTATAACTTGTAGAATATGTAGGTAGATAACCACGTACAATCATATTGAATTACCTGTGTAATAATAAACAAACTAATATAAATAGTAAGATGTATGTGTATAGTTATATTTAATGTGTATAGTGTATGTTATATGTCCAATAATGTATAATTTAAAGTAATGTAATCTAATAAATAGTAGTGGTTTAATATTTATAATCAAGTGTGATAATTTTATATGATGTACTAATTTGGTATAGTTTATAATAATGTATAGTATAATAGTGTATGGTTATATGTTAGGTTATATATATGTTATATTCACTTGGTAGTTTAATTATAGGGGTATAGACGACGTAGTCGGTGGTTTAGTATTAGTGTAGTATAATTAACAAAGATTTATAGGTAATACGAAACTTTAGTGTGTAGGTTAAAGTGTACAGTTAACATATGATAACGTATAATACAATAGAGATACTAAGTAGTACAATGTAGTATAAATTATTGTGTGATTACTCAGGTAATAGAGAAATTACTTATTTTCTTTAAATTCATTTTAAAAACAACTTATATATTACTTACTTATGTTACACAGGTACTACTTTTATACTGGATTGTATACTCTACGTAATACTACTATTATATTATGTACTTATTAATTATTCCAGGTTGATTATTAATTATTCCAGGTTGATTATATTGGACTTTCTATTTTATTTATTCTAGTTATACATTTATTTTTTTAGGGTAAACAGGGAAAATTATAATAATATTACTTTTATTACAGATAATTCAGTAGTCTTTAAGTATAGTGAGTAGATCTAAAACGTGGGTAGATCAATGTAAAATTAAACACGAGTCCTTCTTATCTCGGTAATAAGAAGTAGAGGGATAGGTTAATTAACGTAATATAAATACCTGACTAATCCTTAACAAGTATAATATGTTAAATAGGTAATGTTTAGGTGTATAATAAGTTGAGTAATAGGTAAATATAATCTGTATAATACCAAATACTAATAAGTAGATGAGAGATTTGTACAATAATAGACTAAAATAAGTATAATATATATAATGATAGTACCCGTTGTATAATAATGAGTATGATAAATATGATTAAGTAGAATAATAATTCAATATAATGTAAGTGTAGTGTAAAAGTATAAATAATTAGGTAAACTAGTAATATCAATTTTAAATATAAATCAAGGTATAATAAACCGATAAATACTTGTATAAAGTAAACCGTTTCATAAAAATATATGACCTGTGTAAAATATAGTAAGATAATAAAAGAGTAGTATAATCCGATAAATTATTATAATAAATAAGTAACACTGAGTAGTACAAAGAATATAATCTGATAAAGTCGACGTAGTCGGTAGGTAAGATAAAAGTGAAACACTTATAATATAAGTAGGTATAATAAACAATACATACAAATATTATTAATTTTACCAACTAATAACCTACAGAGAGAGAATGTAATCTCAATCAAAAATAAATTATGTAGAGTAAAGAGAATAAGTAGGTAATCTAGTAGTATATATAAAAGATAAAATGTATAAAGAATACTATTAATTCAGTAATATATTAAAATAATACAAATTAATAAGAACAAAGATGATCAATAACTTGAAGTTTAGGTATATGGTATTGATTAAAGGAATATGAGTTTTAGTATAGTTTAAATTAAAAGGTATAGTCAAAGTATAACCTTCAAATAAACAATATGATATAGTTAAATGTATAAGTTTTATAATCATATATAATGTAGTATAAATTATAGTAGGATAATTAATATAGTAAAGAGTACAATCTAACGTATAAAATATACTAACCTACCAAGTACAAATATAATTATGTGTATAAAGTAGTAGTAATACAAATAACTAATATAAACAAATAATTAGTATAATAGTAATAATATAGTAGTAGTAAAACAAGTAATACAGAAATAATAGTGTATAATACATTACAACAATTTAACCTATAGTCGACTAATTGATAATAATAATAACCTACAGATAAAATAATAAAGATAAGTAATATTCTAATATAAAAAAACCAAACTTGAATACCAGTACAATATAATCTATGTAGTGTAAGATAAAGTGTACACGGGTCATATAAAATAATGATAGTTAAACTAAAGTCCAAGATAATACAACGTAGAAATAAACTAAAATGGTACGTAAAATAGAGTATACTTAATAATAATTAGTATTATAATGTGTAATTGAATATAAATTAGTATAATAATAGTGATGAGTAATTAAATAATATTATAATGTAAACTCTCGGTAATATAATATGTATAGTAATAATATATAATACGTATAGTGTAAACCAAGGTAAGTGTAAAGAGTACTATAGTAATAATAAGATAATACAGTAGTTAAAATAGATACCTCCATACAAATTATAGTAGAATGTAATAACCTGGAATAATGATTTGGTATAATATAATAATACAATGTAGTATAAGATAATTGTAATAATGGATAATAATAAGATACAATAATATACAATAATGTATACAAAGAATAGAGTATATATAATACAGAGTACAAATTAGTACAATAATAGTAATAATGAGTATGTTAAGGTATCTATATTTTTTTGATATTATTATATTCTAATACCTAAATTACTAAAATTTAAGTATAGTACTGGTAAGATTCTGTGAATTACTAAATAAATGTATAACTGGAAATTTGTACACCTAGGTGAATATAATTATACTAGATTAAAGTACTTGGTAATGGATAGGTAACTTTAAATGTACTAGGATAGGTATACAAGTATATCAGGATTGTAGGACTAGTTTAAACTAGAATTAACCTAATATATTAACAACCAACTAACCAAATTTAAATCCAGTACCAAGAGTATAATTAGTAGAATAATCACCTACATATAGGTACAAACTATATTAATGTATATCCAGTATAATTGTATGTATTGGTACATAGGACTTTATCATCTACCTACTACTTTTACCCCTATAATTTATACTAAAAAAAACTAGGTCTAAGGCTCCTTGATTATATTCATAAATAAAACCAATAGTTAAAATTATTATAAATAATAATACAATCCAAAAAGCGATTAAAGAATTTAAAGAGAACTAAATTGAAGCGATAGGAAACATAAATATAATTTCTAAATCAAAAATTAAATACAATATACCTATAACATAATATAATATATCAAATTTCATTCTAGCATCTGAAACCGGCTCTAATCCACATTCATAACTAGATAATTTTTCAATTGATCTATTAGTCATACTAGCCCAAAAACTTACAACATATAATACGGTAGCAACTACTAACAAAATTATACTCATTAAAATAAAACTCATATATTAAAAATTAATTGAACTCCTACTACCCATAACGCCCTAAATGGGGGTACCCCTCTTGGGTATAATTTAAATATTATTAATTTATATCACAGTACTATTATGATAACTGATAAACTACTGATTAATGTATAAACTAATATTAAAAGTTGTATAATCAAGTATGTAATAATAGTAAAGATTATAATAAACTAGTGTAGATTTAAAATTAATGTACAAATTTAAGTATAATATAAGTTAACTGGTTGGTCATAAATACAATAATAATACAGAATAACCTAAATATAAAATACACCGACTAGATAAATTACAAATAAAATCACTATTATTCCAATATTGCTGATCATAGTATTAGTAATATACCTTATGACATTATTAATAAATAACAATACAAATAACTCATAAATAAGTAGGAAAAGAATAAAGAGTATTACAAAATACTTTAAACCAGATTATTAGAAATTAAACTACTTGATTATACTAATATATTACTCTACATTATATTACAATATTATACTAATTAGGGTTAAAATATGTAGATTTAAAATAATGTATTGCCTACATGGAATAATAATTTCTACTATAAATTAGAGTATAACCTACGTCGACGTACACGGATAAACCTATGTTGTAGTATAAATCTGTACAATTTCAAGTAGACGTTTAACACGTTCACCAAGATTCTTTCGTAAATAAATACAAATAAATATTCAAAGTACAATAATAATATCTCCCTACCAGATAAATTAAACTATAATCATTATAATATACAAATAAATAATCTCCGTGATGTTAAAATATTATCTAGAATCATGAGTAAGTTGATGATTAGATAATTAAAATTAAGAGAAAGAACCATATAAATATATAAATAATATTACAACTCACCACCTGGCAAAGTTAAATTAAAGAATAGTGTACAATAATGGATAATACTCATATAATAGGATCAATATAAACTAGTACGTTAAATT